CCGGAGAAAAGCGGCTTTCCCGGGCTGGCCCCGGTCCTTATATACCTCTGGAGAACTTTCCAGAACAGTCACGCCTCTTTCCGGCTAGGGAGCCAATCCCGTAGCCCCGCAGGCCGGCCTTCCACCAATGGCCGCAGCGGAAGGTCGTGACGCAACAAAGCCGGGGGAAGAGGGCGGGTCAGGAGGCGCGTGAGTCAAGGGGGAGCCGGCCGGCTTTTTCCTTCTTTCTTCCTCTTTCCTTTTTTCTAGAACGTTCATCCCTCCCAGAGCGGAGAGGAGGGAGGCAGGCTCGAACTGGATGACGTCTCCAGGAGCCAATGACCTTCCCTCATGGCGCGCCTTATTTGCATGAACAAGGCGAGACAAAGGGATTGAGAGGGAGAGACAGGACGTTCGGCGCCCGGAGTTGCTTCCCTTTGTGTTTCGAGAGGCAGCCAATCGCTTCCCACAGTGGCGTTCCATGATTTGCATACTTTGCACGAAGGGAGGGGGGGTGAGTGGGCAGCTAGCCCCCTTTAGAAGGGAAGGCGCGCGGGTGGGAGGGAAGAGAACGTGTTAATACAAAAGGAGCCAATTGGATTCCAGCGTAGGTCGACCGAGGGGCCCGCTGGCCAATCAAATGTCGATTTAGCCGGCGCGCGGGAAGGCGGTGGGCGTGCCCGGCAAAGTCGACTGCCTGAAGGAGAGCTGAGGAGAAGCCGGTGACAAAATGGCGGCCGAGCGTGCTGGGTTGCTGCAGGGCGTTGGCGAAGGGCCAGGGCCGGGGTTAGCGGAGGACGCGAGCAGAGCGGCTCGATGAAAGAAACCTTCGGGGAGTGAAGCCACCAACGCTTCTCCCGCTCCAGCTTCCCAGTTCACGCCAGGTCCCCGTTTGAACCTCCCACCCCGCCTGATATTGGACTACAACCCCCACCAGCAAAGTGGGGGTGGGGGAAGATGTGGGGAACTGCTGCGGTGGGGGAGCGACCTTAAGCTCGCTGTATTGTCGAAGCCCGTGTAGTTGAGAAGCAAGGAGAGCAGCACTCTACATGTGCTCAAGGGCACTCTTGCCCTAAGAGGCGCTTCATGCAGGCCGCGGGCGCTGATGGCAGGGGAGAATTGCTGCGCAGGCGATCTCGTTCAGTCAAATATTCTGCCGAGATGAGAGGCGCCACATGGCCTTTCTTGACCCTGAAAGGATTCTTCTCCTTAATCCAAATAGGAGGCGATTGGCCATAGTATTCCAAGAAGCAAAGGCAGATTATCTTTAAAAAAAAAAAAAAAAGCCAAGGGTTTGTAGAGACAGAAAGATTGGGAAGAGGCCTTGCTTCCCCTCCCCCCCCCAAAAAAAAAGAAAGTGGGCAATGAAGACTGGCTTTCAACCCAAAAAGAGCAGGTCGCAGTTCATCATTCAGAAATATTGTTCAGCCAGCCCGTCTGGATTTACCCAAGATGCTGATCCTTGCATCTTAATATTGTTATGTTAAATATTGTTGAGTGCACTCACCTCCCCCTGAAATAAAAAAAAAAACTGGTCGGAGGAGTTTATCTTTGGGTTTAGCTGAATTGCAGTTTGGCAGCCTTTATTTAAAAACAATGAAGCCTTAAAATTGTGGAGTCAGAACAGTTTAAAATAAATATTTACTTCCTTTTGTTTGCTTATTCTGAGCAAAAAATCATTGATGACAGCAGACGAAGGTGTTCTCAGTTTTACCAGTTCAAGAATAAAAACAAGAGTAGGAATTTATACAACAGTACTACATAGTAAATTGCATACAAGGTAACAATGTTTAAAGAATATTTTACAAAATAACAATTGGCTGTTCATAATATAGTGTTTCCCTTGTGAGATACAATTTAAGGTCATGAATTTGAAGCCATTGTGCTTAAATATTCCCTTTTACAGTGAAATCCTAGTGATGTGACATACTATATTTTCTTGCACCATAATTTCTTCCCTCAATATCTGAGAATTTCCCTTACATTAGATTTATCTTATAATCTCATTTATTCTCTTCAGTAGTAGAATTCAAATTGTTTGCAGAGTTTGGCTGGTAAATATACACTGGAGGCTCAAAACATCTGTGTATATAATAAATAACTTGATTATTATCTCTCTTGCCAATGTAGTGTCTAAGACAGCTCCTTTTTCAAGCCTCCCCTGGATTTCCCTTTTTTGAAATAGAAAACATTTTGAAGACTTGTAAAACAACAAAATCAATGCTTGAGCATTTGAGAGGCCTAGTTGCTACTGTTCCCCTTTCTTTCAACATGCTTCTGTAACCCCATAAATAAAATACAGTTTCAGGAAGGAAGGAAAAGATTAGACAGGTAGATGGCCATAAATTTATCAGGAAAAAGGAAACAGGCTGCTGCAGGGGTAAGCTTTCAAAACTGAGTGACCTAAGGGAGTGGGGTAGGAAAGTAAATGAAACATGGATAATTTAAAGTATCTATAATAAGGGTAGAGTAGGTGGTTTTAGGAAAAGAAAAAAACACAAACCAGGGAGTTGAAAAAAATAAACATAAAGAACACTGAAGGGATGGAGTAATGTGCTTAATTGGCAAATGGAGTGCATTTTTGCTGATTTAAAAGGCAGAATCTTCAGGAATATTTTTTAAGTGTTCTTGTATGTATTTATAGAATAGGATGCATGTGTTTTGTTACATTTTACTACTGTTGAGCATAGGCAGTTTTGCGCTAATGCTTGGGATGGTATTAGGAGTAATCCATTTTTTAATTTGGTATATATTTGCATGTGATTTAAGGAAACTGGTTTTTCACTTCCTGTGCAGTGGATGTTTAATTATTAGAGTTGGAAACGAATACCGGTACAGTGTGTATTGTCAATTTATCTTTCAAAGAGCCTGTTGTTTCCATATAGTAAATTTTGTGATTCCCCATTCTTTCCAATGAGGATTTTGTCATGGTGCCAGCCACTTTTTCAGAAATTACACTATCTATAAACCCCCCCCCCAAGAGTTAAGACAGGTCTGCTCTATTTTGTAGCAAATAATAATAATAATAACAACAACTTTATTGTCACTTTGAATGTACACCAATCGGCATACATCAAAATGAAATTTCGTTGCATACAGCTCTCAAAGGGTCACCACCTTCGATATACACTCCTTGTTTGTGGCCAGCTCATAACTATAATCCTCATAACTATATATAACTATATATAATAGTTATGAGGATTATAACTATAATCCTCATAACTATTTGATTTCTATACCTCATTCACTAAGCATCAATTTTAAAATAAGACTTAAATAGCTTTTTAATTCAAAAGATGGTGGAAACAGCTTGGGATAACTCACCATGATTTGATAACCTGCATTATACCGAGCTTTGATATAAAGAAAGTGATGAAATAGTTCATTGTCTTGGATTTTACTTTCTTCCTGTTGAGTTCTGGGATTTGATGATAGGTTGTAAGCTGAATTGTTTTTTTAAATATTCAGTTAAGGTCCATGAAGGGATAAACTAGCTTGGTTGAGAGGGGTGAAATAATCCTAACATTGTAAACAAGCAGACAGGAAGCCTGCCATGTCTGGTTCTTAACTTCTGAGTGAGCATATATAAGACTCAGCTGAGGAATTCATGCAATGCTGACTTTAATCATAGTTGAATGTGCTTCAGGATACTCCAGAAATTTTGTTACTGAGACTTCTAAATTAAGTGTAGCTGTTGTATAGATAGAAACCTGGTTCTTATTTCTTGTGAAAATAGCTTTCTGTCACAGCCTTATAAGATCTGTAATACTGACTGCCCTATATTAGCAATGCACATCCTACTTTTGAATCCTAAGTCACCATTTATAAATTACTCTTATAATATATGAGTCTAGTGGTTCTGTTATTTCCTTCTTGCTGGCTGTGTTTAAGAATGTGATGGAAATAATCCCCCTGGAATAATATCAGTTTAAAACTCATCAGCACTGCAATCTAGTTGGCACTTGAAGTCAAACAACTTGCATTTTCTTATCGTTAAAGCTGGGTGATGCTAGTTGTGTCCATAGATGAGACTTTCCACTTTAGAGAGATGAAAGCATTCTTAACACCAATGCTGAAATCTACATTTTCAGCTCATTTCCATTCTTTATACCTCCTTTAAATTTTGCATTTAGTTTTACAAGTTTGAGTACGCTATATCCATCCAAATGGTCACATTTTCTAGATTATTGCCTCAATCATGACATTGTGTTCTGACTAAAAATGCTCCCCACCCCCCAAAACCCTTTGGTACTACTCATCCTAAAAAATAAATGTCACTATGTCCAGCATAGAGAACAGTATTTTAAAACTCTGAAACACCGTTTTTAAAAACTTGTAAATGGAATTCAGGATTTGATGCTGATCTCACATTCTAATGATCCATTAGGATATAATTCCCTTTCGTGGAATTGCTTATTATTTATGAATATATACATACATACAAATACATTAGCTTGGTCACAGTGGGCTAATGTCTATATTCTTTAGCCGTATTCAGTCATACGAACCTTCTTAAATTAATGCACTTCCATGTTCACAGAAAGTCCCTCTAGTAAAGAATTAAGTCTAATATTGCTTTTTGCTTTTTTTCAAAGTTACTGTTTTCTGCTTTGTTGGTGGTGATGTGTCCAAATATTGATAATTCAAGAAAAAGACACATGCAAAGTCCTGCCAGTTTGCTTTTGAAGCTGATCAGACTTAACATTAGCAGTGAAAAACCGAGGTCACAACTGAGAAGACAACTGTATATGTATGCATTTCATTTTCCCTTAAGTATTCTGCTGGAATATCTGTATTCCACCGTATACTTTAAAAAAGCAAATTGGTTCAAAACTGCAAAATGCTATTCTCGTTTTGTCAGCATTCCCTTTTCTCCTTGCAAGTCTTAATCACAAAAATAAAAACAAAATCTTAAAAAAATAGAAATAACTGTTTTTACAAGGTCAACATGAGTTCTGTTTTCCAAGTTTGCTTGTACCTCAAAACAGAAAGATAAAAAAATACCGAGGGTTTTTGTTCTTTGTTTGTATGTGCACAAATATAGAAAACAAATGTTGCATTGGAAAATAAAATAATTGCATAATGCTGGTGGTGTATGTACTAATTTATGGATATAGCTGGAGCCCAAATAGATGGAACAGTAATCAAATGGTTTGAAAAGCTCAACTTTGGGCAGGCATCAGTGTAGGGGTTGCTTCTGTTTTGATCAAACTGGTGTAGTTACTTCTCTTTGGCTCAATTTTCCTGCCATTCATCTCAAGGTGGCTGTGTTGTGTTGGTGTTAGGTGTGGAGTAGCTTCTGTTGACAATGTTTGCTGGCTGCGAGAGGCACTGTTTTCTGTTGATCTTGTTGAGGAAGAACCAGAATGTGAACTTCTGGAGCCCAAAGAGGAAGAGCCAGGCTTGACCAGTCGGGCCTTGGGTGCCTCTGCATCTTCTCTGGGATTAAAAAAAGTAAAAATGATTAAAAATCTGAATAATAAAGGACCAGTAACAGTCATACAACATAGATTCCCTAGTGTGTTTGAGATTTAACAAATCCTCTGGGTTACCTGCTAGTAGTCTAGCCATATTTAGTTGTAGAGAGCTTTTCTAAGTCAAGATTGGTGAAAAGTACTATATTTTCTCAACTGCTTCTGTTGACAAAATACATTTCACCCATCATGGTTAAAAGAAGCGGTTTTTAAATAATTTTCTCTGCAGTGCTGTTACATTATTTTTCTTGGTTGCACAAGCCAGATGTTTGGAGTAGAATTGGCATTGTTGTTATTGTTATTATTATGCTGTTGAGCAGAATTATTTGATGTATGATAAAAGCAACTTGTAGAAGTGGTAGAATTATTTTGAAAGCTTCAGGGAGGCAAAGCATTTGAACCTCTTTTTCATTTGTGACCGAGGAACAAGAAAGAATACTAGAGGCACTGACTGTGAAAATAAATCATTCTCTGGCAAGTGACCTAATTGTTGTTAATTTTGTGATGTTGATGGGCACACCACCCTTCAAAATCAAACACCAAAATGAACGGAAATGAACAATTAAAACAATACAATGAAACTTTGGAAAGGTGGATTAATTCTATAACAGTGTAACTAAAAGGTTATTCATTTCTCCCCTGGACTTTGTCTGTATCTGCCCAAGGGAGTCTACCTCACAGTTTGGGAAATCCTGTTCTAGATCATTTGGAGATATCTCTTCCTAACCACTCATAATACAAAAAACTCTCCCTCAGCTGAATCATAGTCTTTTTTTTTGTAAAACCATGATTAATAAGCTGGTAAAGGCATATTAGACTGAGAAGCAGAAATTTTGCAAATAAATTATATTCAGAAATAAGCTTCTGCATTTGAATAGGAATGCTCCTGACTTTTAGTCAGAGCTATAAGTCTTAAAAGACATTTATTTTAATTTCCTGATTATTTCCAGGAATGTTTTGCTATCATTTCTTTTTCTGTAGTCCTTGTTTTCCCCTCATGATTGATCACTTGATTTTCCCAGACATGCTAGGCTAAAATCATTTGACTAATGTATAGGTTAATGGGTTTTAGGAACCTAGACACTGAAGTTACTTTATGACTTGTTGCTTTGTGTGAATCTGGCAGATGGGTTAATTCACCAAACCATAATTTAGTTAATCCTGGGCCAATGTACAATTAGAACCTTTGACTCTCAGACTTTAAGCCCTGCCTTTAGAAATGGATTCTCCCTCCAGACCTCTGTTTGAATTCTGGGAGTGAATTTCAGATGAACTGCTATAATGTGACCTACATAGTTGCCCTGTTTCTGACTCAACCGAGATTCACACCTACACAGAACATCATCTACCTTTTACACAATATTCTTCCTTCCAACATAATGGGTTGTTGGGTCAGACTAAAGATCCAAGTATTATTTAGAATTCTATTTCCATAAAGAGCTGCAAGTTCACCTAAAATTGGTTTCAGCAGAGGTATTCAGGCTGGCTGCTACTGAAAAATGTGTCGATACTTTTATCTTCCATGGATTTGTCTAATTTTTAAAAGCTTGCCCTAGATCCATCTACTACAGAATGTAGTTTGAATCAGTTTTTAATACAAATTAAGAATTCATTCCTTTCCTTCTGGTTCTTGGATTTTCCTCAAGTATTTTTTCCTGTGTTAAACATGAAAAAATCATTTGTGCTTTTTGTGGCATCACCTATTATGCCAATTAATTTATAACCCTTTTATGTGGCTTTCAGGAACTAGCAGTGAAATAAAAAAAATACAGATGTTGAAGTTGCGCAAAAGATGAGCAAAAAAAGTAGGTGATGGGGTGTGTGTGTGGTGGAACAGGGAAAAGGAAAGTTTAAAAAACTTTTGCAATTAAAGTTTAAAAAACTTTTGCAATTAAAAAAACCCAAACTTTGGAGATGTTGATTTTAGGAAAATCAGTTTAGGTAAATCAAGGATTTAGTGAGGATTTTTAATGATTGCTCAAAAGCTGCAGAGGTCAGCATGATTAGATTGCAACAAGTAAAGGAATATAAAAGAGGGAAATGTTATTCAAATAGAATTAAATTGCAGGATTCCTTTGAGTCATAAGGGTGTTGTCAGTTGAGTCATACTTTTGAAATGCCTCACAAAGAAAGTTCAAGAAACGTCTAGTAAGAAGTGATGTGCTATGTTAGAGTAGACTCAACATAGAATATTGTCATATTTCAGAAAACAAGTTACAAAAAGTGTGCGTACCCTCCCATGTATGCTGATGACTAAATAGTTCAAAATGTTAAAGAGAGACCTCATTCCATCTTTGTAAATGTAAATTTGCTTTATATAGAAGATCAAGACTTGTATCAGAGAGAGAGGAAAATAGCCTTATCTTCTCCAGAGGACATTGCAGCTGTAATCCAGGAAAGGAAATGGTATAGTAAGTGTGTTCAATCTTTAAAAATAGAACAAAACATATATTTTTGACAGACTATTAGTTCATAGAGCACACTAATATTCCTCACAACTCAGATTCGCTTCATGTGATTTCAGAAAAAGATGTTTTGGAACCCTACTACGTGATCTCCTTTAAGACTGAATGTTGGTGACTGATTTTGGGATTGCACATAAAACATTCCCTTTATCACTGACTTATATTCTCCCCTCCGGTTCTGAGGCTGTTCTGTAATAAAATTAAGAGACTGCAGCTTTTGAATGCTTAAAGAGTGGTTTTTACAAGCAATTACCTGATTTCATTTGGAGTCTCTTCTTCATATTTATTTTTTTCTTTCCTTTTGATAGTTAGCCACACAGCCAAGACAACTAGCAAGGATACTCCCATCACTCCACAGATTGCTCCAGCAATGATGCCAACATTTGGGGGATCTGTTGATTTAGAAACAAATGCTACATTTTATTTGTTCTATAGCCAAATACTGTTTTTGTAATTCTGGCATCTGTTGCATGGATATTTTCAAAGAGTCTCCTTTCTTTTGTCTCAAAACGGATAGTATATTCCCATTGTTTTATGCCACAGGAGGTAGCAGCCCTGGGTAATCTTGGCTGACCTTGAAAAAGAAAAACCAATTGGAGCTGATTTGTGATTTGAGTCAGAGATTAACAGGAAGTCCCAGGATTTCTACACTGCTTTGGAAAGTTGCAAAATTACTCTGGAAGAAGTTGCAAACACACTACTTCTGCAGAATTAGCAAGAAAAAGACATATTTGTGTTGTTACAGGGAAAAGAGCTTGATTCAAGGGAGACTTCATTTTCCATGGTTAAACTGTGAATAAGACTATAACACAGGTTAAATTGAATTAACTCTACCCTGGAGCAATGGACTGGTTGTTTTCTTCTCAGTTTTTCTCAGCCAACGCATCTCAGATTATGCAAATGATAGTAGTTTATCACTTCAGATTTTCAGCAGTGGTGTAATCCACCCTGTTGCACACAGACCATTAATTGCCCTGAATGTAGTTAGTGTTGCTTTAGCTTTCTTTTGCATTGCATATTTCACATACCTGACTCCCAAGCTTAGATTTAAAATGTTAAATGTTTTGGTGTTGGCATATTTTGCACATTAGACTTTTCATTTGTTAAAATTAAATTCCAGTGTTGAATACAAGTAGAGGCTGACATAGGTGAAGGAAGCACACCCCTCCCAGTCCATTGAAATACCTGACAAATATGGTATCCTTCTGGACTGCCTGTTGGGATTTGGAGTCGGAGGCTATTTTTAAGGTTGTGCCACTTTTTTTAAAAATGAGCACTTCCAGTTGATAGTTGTGGGAAAAAGCTCTTACGCTCTTAAGTCCCACAGGGCCAGCTACCGTCTCCATGTTACTTAACATCTACATGGAATTTTAAGGAGAGGTTTTGTAAAAGATGGGGTGGTGAACTTAATATTAATATTCTGATGATGCTCAGTTACATGTCCCTACTTCGAACACAGCCAGAGATGCTTCACAGATCTCAGTCTAGCATTTTAAGTACTGGATGGGATGAAAGAAGCTCAAATTGAATCCTTGCGAGGCGGTATTATTGATTGCCCAGAACTGTTTTGCTGCAATTTAATTGTAATAATTGCTTTCAATGAGGTCACTGTCGCTTCAAAATAACATCTCCCTCATTGAAGAGTTCTATTCAGCTCACAGCTCTGATGAATGCCGTGGCTGGGTGTGAACCAGTTGTTGCCCTTTCTAGAACAAGGAGCCCTGGTGATAGTGACTTACGTTATATCACTATCCATTTCGATTATTCAATCATGTTCTACCGAGAACTGGGATAGTCCTACAAGGTAAAAAAGGAAACCAAGTCCCTTGGAAGACTAGAATTATACTTTACAGGTAGTCCTTGACTTACAACAGTTCATCTAGTAACCGTTCAGAGTTACAACAGCATTGAAAAATGTGACATGACCATTTTTCACAGTTATGACCTTTGCAGCATCCCCATGATCACGTGATCAAAATTCAGGCGCTTGGCAACTGGTTCGTATTTATGACCTTTGCTCTGTCCCAGGGTCACAGGATCCCCTTTTGTGACCTTCTCACAAGCAAAGTCCATTGGGAAGCCAGATTCACTTAACAACCGTGTTACTAATTTGTCAACTTCAGTGATTCACTTAACAACCGTGGGAAGAAAAATCATAAAATAGGGCAAAACTCACCTAACAAATGTCTCACTTAACAGAGGTTTTGGGCTCAGTTGTGGTTGTAAGTCAAAGACTACCTGTATTGTGGCTGGCTATAGTAACAGAATCTTACAAGTCTGATTGTGCCTTTCCCTCCCTCCCTTATACCTCAGGGAATCTTTTCTGAATACTTTCCCGAGCCTTAAGGAATGCATCTGTCCTTTTGATTTCTATAATGGTTCCTGAGCATTTGCTTAAAGGCCACTTCCTTGCCTCTCTGCAATTTGCTACAGAAACCAGACATCTACGGGGGGAGGCTATCGTTGTAGCGAATACATATATTCTGATTCCTGCACTGGTTATCAGTTTCCCAAGCGTAGTTCAAATGCTTCTAGAGGTCTTCCATACTTACGTTGCACTGTCACCTGTATAGCACAGTTGTCCTCTCCAGCCTCATTGGAGGCAGTGCATTGGTAAGATCCTGTGAACATCCATGTGAGATTCTTCATAATAATTTGGGCAGGATTAGAGAGATCTAAAATAAATCAAGGGACAAGATTAAATGACATTTAGAGCCTAAGGATATCATTAAATGATAGAATTAATTTTCTGGCATAATATACAATGATATTAGCGTTTAAATAAGAAATAGGATAATTCATGGGGGAGTTGTGGGATGGTTTAAAGTAAACCGACAAAACTTACTGAGGTGTGTCAAGGGTGGCAGAGGCTCAAGTTTTCCCTTTGCATCTACACGCTGCCATGTGTACATAATAGGGGCTGTGCCAGAGGCGGAGTTACACTGTAAAGTGATTTCTTTTCCTTGAGATGCTTCCCCTTCTTTCCAGCATTTGGGTTTCGAAGGTTTTTCTGGAAAGGAAGAAAAAACAATCAGTGGGATTCTCCCTGTGAGTCAGAAAAAACCCAGCATATTCAACAGAAAAGCGAAGTGTTTGTTTTGAAAATGTTGTGACTGTCTTACCCAGAACCTTCAGAGTGATGTGTGTCCATTCATACTGTCCAGCATTTTTAACTTTGCACGTATATTGCCCAGAGTCACTTGGCTGCAGAAGAGAAATCTCCAAAGAGGCATCTCCAGTCAGGAAATTAGAGGCGAATGAAACACGACCCTTTTGTTCTTCGATCATATCATGATAGATGTTGCCTCCTGCATAAGTGATTACCTGGGAGACAAAGTTGCACATCAGCTTAGCTTTGCTAATAAGCCTTTTGCAAACTTAGTTATTTAGTGATATTAAACTTATGGCAGCATTTATCTGTTCACCAGACAATCTCCCCAGCTATGGTAACTCACTTCACACAACCAATAACAAGGCCTTCCGGTGCCAAGCTTCCCAAATGACTGATAACAGCATGCACTGATTCAGTTTCATAATTACCGTATGCCTTAATGGTTCTGTTGGCCACACACTCTAAATAGGATTGGCTGTAAATCCAGATTTTTAACAAATTTCCAATTTAGAGAAGGAAAACGTGCATTTTGCAAATGAGTTTAAGGGGATGAAATAGGGAGTTCTCTTCAAATCTCTAAAAACCAGACTAATCATCTCCAAATGACTGTTTGTAATAGGAACCGGCAGAAGGGTTCATTTTGAAAATCTGCCGCTTTATTTCACTATGTAAATAAAAAATAACCTTCTGTGAAGTTTTTGGGAGAGTAGGGAACTATATCCTTAGTCCCTGTTTTTAGCATTCAATCACTTGGACAGTTTCCCATAAAAATCATATATCTCTCTGTGTTTAGCGAATAGCACTTTAAGCCTTCAAGCTGTAGTCTGGAACTGATCATAACCTGATAGTGGTTTTTGTTTGTTTGTTTAAAGGATTATCTCACACTTCATTTTATCGGCATAGCTGAATGTTTGGGGGAAGTTAAGTTGACTGCTTTAGTAATTCAGAATGAGAAACTACGTGGCTGATCTTTTTTAATTCCTTTGAAAAGCTTAGCAGACAACCATGTATTTCTACTATCTTTGCACTGTATGAAAAAAAGATACCCAATCCACTTAACTGAGAGGATTGGAAAAGAGGTGATCCTCAAGATGGCTGTTGGGTACCGGAATTCCTGCTAGAGCCACTAATTTATACATTTGATGGCTTGTCATGACTCATAATTTTGACTGTCTATCAGCCATTTTTGAGTCCAGTTGAAAAAATAAATATGTTTTCCACCCTCAGATAATTGCTATGAAAACTTTGGTAAGCCTTGTAGGAAAACCAGTGTGTGATTCACATTTTTATAAGCTGATTATTTGCTTTTGAGTTAAAATCATACTGAAGGCAAATCACAATTATCTAGGGCTGTGCAAAAGGGAGATTTGTAGTAAGTGGGGGCGTAACAAGACTTACTTGGTTTAAAGAGTTAAAGAGAGGCAGGCACAATGTTTAAACACCTTTTTGCTTTCTGCTCGGTTCTGTGTTGATTACTTCAGATACCTGTATAAAGATGCTATTTGCAGCATGCATCAGCAAGAAAGCCTGAGTCACAGTCCTATAAACCCACATTCTTTCTCATATCTAAATTCATTCTATAAATATTGACAATCTTAGAAAATGAGTCATACAATGATGATCTAGACCAGGGGTAGTCAACCTTGGCTCTTTTATGACTTGTGGACTTCAACTCCCAGAATTCCTGAGCCAGCTAAGCTGGCTCAGGAATTCTGGGAATTGAAGTCCACAAGTCTTAAAAGAGCCAAGGTTGACTACCCCTGACTAGACTGAGGTAATGTATCAGTGTTCCTCAAACTTGGCAACTTTAAGATGTGTGGACTTCAACTCCCAGAATGCTTCAGCCAGCATGGCTGGCTGGAGAATCCAGAGAGTTGAAGTCCACTTGTCTTAAAATTGCCAAGATTGAAGAAAGCTAGATGAGACATACCACTTTGGGTTTAGCTTCAGAATTCTTTAGCAGCCACTCTATATCCAGACTCGCTGGCTCCAGAAGGTGTAGGCGATGATGACAGGGCAAAGTTACGTTGGCTTCGGCCACTCTTTTAAATTCTGTCTGAGCTTGTGACATCCAAGTAGAACAGGAGGCTGAAAGAGAACAATTAAGCCAGTTGGCTGATTTCTGATCTCGTAAATATTGTTTTTCTATTTTCCTTTCTTGTTGCAATATGGGACAATATATCAAGGACCTTGCTTTGACAGTGTGTGTGTGTGGGGGGGAGGGCAGTCATTTTTTAAACAAGACAACTTTAAGAATTACAGTTTATTCATTGTTGGCTTATTTTATTTTATTTTTTATTTGACTTATTTTGATGGTAGCTAGGATTGTGGAGAAGGAGGAAAGAATCAGAAATTAATCAGCGCTCTTTCATTTTGCTGTGTAGAGTTGGTGTGATTGGGACCTAATTGTTTGTACTTGTTTTTTTTTTTTTTAATGGATGGTTTCACTCCTGGAACTTTTCTTTTGAAAACATGAAGTAGGAAACAGGGATGTCAATCCTAGCTTAAAAGGCATGTTGAAAATCTCTATTTTGGGAGAATCGTTAACAAAAACAACAATGTATACTTCTTTACCTGATGCTGAATGATTAATGATATACATATATATTTTGTTTACCCAAATAAATAGTACATTTTTGAGTGCATTAATGTAATTATGTGTTGCTGGATTAGTATTCAGATATACAATGGTTAGAGCTCTGTCTCAAATTTGTTTGCATTTCCAAAGACATAAAAGGATAGCTTTTTTTAAAAGAAAAAAAAAGCAAATACACATTATATCAATGGGGAAGCTCACCATTTTAGTATTTAGAGTCAAATATTCTGGAAGAATGAGGAAAAAAAACCATACACCTAGGCTTGGAATCACCTTGGAATATTGAGTTACTTTTGAACATTTCTCTCTTGATTTCCGCAGCATTTATCTCCCTCTCCTTCCTTTCCTCTACAACAGGGGTCCCCAATACCCGGTCCGTGGACTGGCACCGGGCCGCAGTATGCCAGAAACTGGGCCACACAAACAAGCGAAGACCCATCCGCGGGATGCAGGCAGCACATGAAACCACTCCCCCTCCGGTCCGTGGAAAAACCTCTCTCCGGGGAACTGGTCCCTGGTGCCCAAAAGGTTTGGGGCCTCTGCTCTACAACACCCCCTCCCTGAGAAGGGCTGAATAAACTTCTCAAGTCTTGAATAGAAGAATAGAAGAAACTGCGTTAAGGTAACATGGCTGCTTTTAATTCACCAAAAGAGCAGCTTCTCTAAAAATGAATAGTATCAAAGCAGTAGTCCTTACCCAATGAACATATATACATGTTTTGCTATATACTTAGGATTGCAATGTATGCATAAAAAGGCATCAGTTTTTTTCATTTGCTGTTGGTAGCTAAGCAATGCAGTCCATATTCTCCCCTGATCTGAGCTTTACTTTCCCACTGGGATTTCTTGCCTTTGAAAACAAAGCACTGTTTACATAGTTGCCTCCCTCTATGAAAAATGGACATCAATAACAACGTATTTTTTTAAAGAAATGAACACAATTTGTGAGTTGCACCACAAGAGGGCAGAATTTACTCAAAGAACAATGAAGCCAAGCATTTGAACTGATAACTTTTACAATTATTTTTATTTTGGAGTGAGTGTACTTGGTTGGAAATTCTTAAAACTAAGATGCAGACAAAAGTGCGACTTCTCTCCTTTTTAAGAAAAAAAAATTCCCCCCATGTCTATGGAAACTAAAAGTTTAAAACTCAAAAATGAACAAAAGCTTAACATTTATTGGGTTTAATTATAGAACTGCATATCATTATTAAGAAAGAAGAAAGAGAAGAGAACCATTGGAATTAATATTTGGCCCAGGTTTTCCCTGACTGTAGCATTTTACTACATTCCATAAAAAACAGATTAATTGAGAAGCAAAAACTATTTTACTAGCTCGTCCTACTAATTACATCTACTTACTTCATCCTTTTTATGGTACTGAATTTCAACGTTTGTGCTATGTATGCATTATCCTTTCATAGCCAGAAATTGGAAGAACATCTCAGAAAGTTTTTCTTGTAAAGAGAGCTGCCATCCCATTGGTTTCTGGCTTGCTCAATGCAGGTCAAATGCTTCAGATCATAGACTCGGGATAGCTATAAATTAAGGTGGAGAATGTCAACCTCAGGCTGTATGGAGAGATGGAAATTGGGTCAAAGTTTTCCCTTTCTGACCTAGATTCACATGAAGATGAATTGGTAAAAAGAATCATCTTTATCACCAATAGATAACTCCCTTATACAGTAGAAAAAAATGAGGAAAGTGGGCAGTTAAGAAATATGAAGTATAAATAAAATGCCTAAAAGAATGTGCTTTGCCTGGTTTTGTTTCCTTTCTCCCCTTTTGGGGTTCAAACTTAGAATAACAGAATAACAGAGTTGAAGGGACCTTGGAGGTCTTCTAGTCCAACCCCCTGCTCAGGCAGGAAACCCTGTACCATTTTTGACAATTGGTTGTCCATCTCTTCTTAAAAACTTCCAGTGTTGAAGCACCCACAACTTCTGGAGGCAAGTCGTCCCACTGATTAATTCTTCCAGCTCTCCTCTGCAGCTTCATAAAGGGAACGAACAGAATTTGCACTATATTAGCACAGAAAGAATTGGCTAGGTTGTTCTGTCATCTCATCTATCCATCCTGCCCAATTCTGCACATCTGCTTTGTGTATTCTTTGGCTCAGAGTAGAAGAGAGGCTATAGGTCACCTTGTCTCAAGGGTGCGGATGTTTTGAACCAGGCAGGCTCGGTCCCACAAGCATGATGCCTGCAGCCATTCGCTCCTAAGGTGCTCTTCCGTTTCAGGAATTTGGGGGAGAGGCAGAAGTGTCTGGCCTTAAAATTAGTTCATGGCTGTCAGCTCCCAGTGGGACCAGCTAGCAGGGCTCATGGCAAAGAGCTCTAGAAATTTAATGCTTTGGAGACCCAGCTTAATTCGGATCTTATATGTTTGGGATAAAGCTTTTAGGAGGCTCTCTTAGATTTGGGTGTGGGGAGGAAAGGTGGTGGGTTTTTTCTCTCTCTCTTTTTCTCTTTTAGAGGATAAGAAGCAGCTGGAATCTGTATGGTGAAAGGATGAATAAAAGTCCAGTCAAACTGCAGGAGGCAAAAATAAAGCTGAATGAAGAATTACACAGAAATGCCACATCATCAGAACACAGAATCAGCCCTTTAAGAATCTGATAAATGCTGAGCTGTGCCTGAAATGTAGACGACCATCAGAAGGTGTGTAGGTGGAAAAATTGTGAATTATATCCTGGGTACTTGCTGCAGAAACCCCACAAAATGCAAGAAGATGTGCGTGTTGCATTTGTGCGTGTGTGCGTGCGTGTGTGTGTGTTTACTTTGGTATCATCATCCCATGCATATGATATCCTTGCATCCTGACCTCTGGCGGCTGAATTTTTGTGGCAAATTTGCATTTTTTTAAAAAAAAATTAAAGGTGGCCATGAATGCTGAAGGGCTCTGGAAGATAAAGTACCTGAATTGCTACCCTTATCTTCCTCTGAAAAGTTTCCTGAAATTGTGTTACTAAAATGCAGCCATTTTAACAGCAAGAAATTGGCTGCAGAAGTTTACATATGTGTTTAATCATTTCTGAAGGGCTTTTTTACAATAGGAATGGAAACGGCTTTCTTCCCTGAAATTTCCTACAAACTCTTCCAAAAGTTTGAAAAGTGAAAGTTGGTCTCTTCAGATGAAGAAAAAAAAGATCATAACCTCCTGGGAACTGAAGAGACAATTATGATCCACAAGCATTCACACAATGCTATCCCCCTTCTGCAGATGGAAATGAATGTTTGGGGTAGGTGGTGTCCTAGAGAAGGACCCCCTATCTCTGGATGCGGTCAATAAGCATCATAATTCAAGCCCTTTTTGGACTGAAATGGTGGAGAATATTCTATGAGATCTGAGGAGGGAAAATTGAAGATTTTTTATAGAGACGACCGCAAAATGGGTTCGCAGTGTCTATTTATCAGTTATGTCAGGATGTATTGCTAGTGAAAGATGGCAGATGGAAGGAATCTGGAGACTAAAAGCAAGATGATAAGTTCTCAGCCTACTCTGTCTTCTCTTTTTAATGGTTGACTGAATGTTCATCTTTCAAATGTTGTCATGTCCTCTTTCCTATGTCGCCTGGCAGGAAAATCTCTCCGGTGTTGTTGTAACATGCTGAATAATTCAGTTGGCAATTAAGGCCTCCGCTCTTCAAATCGGAATTTGGTACTGCAGGAAAAACTAAGCAAAAAAAACCCCACCCCCCAACAACCACTAAACAAACAAAACTCAGCTCTACTATTCTGAGAACTTTGGTGGAACAAAAGCTGTCCAAGGATGTTTGTATGGTTGGTATGGTTCCCCAGAATGCATGTATCTGAATGTCATCTAAAGAGACTGTAAGATGCTTGTTCACTAAATATGACTATGGGATCAGTTGAAGCTTCCAGTAGAGATAGGAGAGAAAGGATGGACCAGTGGAAGCTTTCAGTGGGAGTAGAAGACCACAAGAAAAGAGTTAAGCCCCAAAACAGACTGAGTGGAGCACAAGTACAGATTGCTTCAGACAAAACTAGTGGCAAAAATCTCTCATGTAATTTAGAGATAACAAGTTTCTATCCTTCAAGGGTTTCTATATGACATTTATCTACATGTCCATAAGCATGCATTTGGGCAACAATTGTTTCCAGTCATATATTACATTTCCAGCATCATTTGGACTTCTCAACCATTCATTTAATGATTGTTTGAAGTTACAACAGTGCTGAAAAAAGTGACTTATGGCCATTTTTCACACCATGGTCGATGATCAAAGTTCAGACGCTTGGCAATTGGTTCATATTTATAATGGTTGCAGTGTTCCAGGGTCACGCGATCATTTTGGGGACCTCTTGACAAGCAAAGTCCATGGGGAAGCTAGATTCACTTAACAATCACGTGACTTACCTACAGCTGCAGTGATTCTCTTAAAAACTGTGGCAAGAAAGGCTATAAAAGGGGGCAAAACTCACTTAAACAACTGTCTCGCTTAGCAACAGAAAGTTTGGTCATAAACCGA